GGTTTCTAAGGAGTGGCTGCTGAGTTTGAACTGCTGATCTTGTGGTTAGCAGTCTAGTGCTTATTCTACAGTGCCACGCCAGGTATCCTAAATTATGCTTTTTATAGCTATAGCGTTCTCCTCAACATTATTATTTTCACATTTTATTGATTTTGATTTTATAGGTAATACATGGATACATTCTCCATAAAGCCTGACAGATCTTCCCTGATCACAGATCCATCATTGAAATGAAATCTCCATTTGCCCTGTTAGTCACTGATTTTAAAATTCTAGAACAACATTTGACACATAGTGAGTCTTCAAGAAGCTGTTTTTGAATGAAGACTAGAGGGTCAAATTCTGGGTTAACTATGTATTAGCTCCTCTTTGGGAAAAGGCATGAGGAGGGGAGGTCATAGGCCAAGGTCCAGAGGAGGTTATGTTGTTTTTGTTAAGTGTCATCAAGTTGGTTCCGACTCATGTCAACCCTTTGTACAATAGAACAAAACACTGATGGGTCCAGGGCCATCCTCACAATTGTTATTTTCTGAGCCCATTGTTGCAGCTACTGTGCCAATCCATCTTGTTGAGGGTCTTCCTCTTTCTCACTGACAGGATGTCATTTTCCAGGCACTGATTCATCCAAGAGACAAAATCTCACCATTGTTCCAATCCGGCTATTCTCCTATCAAAACAGATTTGCTCATTCTTCTGACAGTTCATGGTATGTTCAATATTCTTCACCAACACCATAACTCAAGTGTATCAATTCTTTTCTGGTCTTCCTTATTAATTGCCCAGCATGTTGTTGTTGTTGTTGTAATGTGCCATGGTGGAGTTGGTTCTAACTCATAGTGAATGACCCTGTACAGGGTTTCCGAGGCTATAAATCTTTACAGGAGCAGAAAACCTCATCTTTCTCTCACGGAACAGCTGGTAGTTTCAAACTGCTGACCTTGCAGTTCGTAGCCCGATTCGTAACCACTACCTACCAGAGCTCCTTAATGCATTTGAGGTGATTAAAAGTACCATGGGTT